GCTGAAATACAGTGAAACACGCTTATAGTGAACATATTTATAATGAATTTATGCTTACAGTAAAGTGATCTTCATGCCCTGTGACTTTGAAATGTATTGTAAATCTGGCAGATATAACAAATTAAATGCTTCTTATAACAAAGCAAAATTGCCGGTCCACGGAACTTCATTATAACTGTGTTTTACTGTATTTCAAAGACTGGTACATGACAACTATGGGCAGGGTTCTTTTATATCATTTACCTATCTGTTACATCATTTACAATAATTGTTCATCATAGGTGAATGACCAAGGGGAATAACTACTGTAATCAAGAGCATTAAAATTGCTGTTATCTTCTCTCTATCATTGCTGTTACTTTCTCTTGGGCATAGCTATTTTCTCTATTGCTACATTTTTTTTCTCTCTATCATTGCTGTTATTTTCTCTCTATCGTTGCTGTTATTTTCTCTCTATCATTGCTGTTATTTTCTCTCTATCATAGCTGTTATTTTCTCTCTATCATTGCTGTTATTTTCTCTCTATCATTGCTGTTATTTTCTCTGTCTATCAGGAAGCATCAATCTGGAGGGGATTAAAGACCTGGACTGGGACGAGCTGTTCAGTCTCCCTAAGCACTACTGGCTGGACGACACCAGGGAGAGTAAGAGGTTCCTGGAGGATCAGGTGGGAATCGACGTCCCCCAGCCCATCTGGGACGAACTCAATGCCCAGGAGAAACGCATCCAGGAGGAGCTATAAGAATTACGTGATCCAAGAGAGACAATCTGATCTTTCCTGCTATAAGCTTTTTAAAATGTTTTTTTTTTTTGCAAATTTAGGAAGGAATTAATATCCTGCCTAACAAAGACTTCAATTTGTGAATGGATGTTGTCTGTACCATGTATAGAAAGTTAAATGCAGTTTCATTAGAAAGTATGAATAGGAATCAGAAGCTTTACTTACAAATCATGGATACAAAATGCATAATATTGTAAATACTTTGATGGAACTATATACTTGATTTTAAGAACATTGATTATTAGATCTCTACAGGATAATGTGACAAATTTTCGAGCCGTTTGTTACTGATATTGTATTAACTGTTGTGTAGGACTTTTGTTTTGAGGGACTCGAATGCTTACTAGAGATGGCTGTATCAGATAATATGCTTCTGTCCATCATGTTATCCTTGTTCTGTTTCATTGTTACAGATCCCAACAATCGGTGCATTTTGTTTCGTTAAGGTGTTGCTTTCTCGTGCCATTTTATTTGCTTGTTTATATTGTAGGATGTACATGTATTAATTCATTTTATTTAAGTAAACATTAGTCTTAACTGTCTTTATATTTTTTTTTTATGAGATCAGGGATAAAACCTGTAAAAATGACAACCATAGACACTTATCATAATGAAGGCCTATTTTTTTTTTTAATAGAATTAGTTTATTACAATCAAGAAGAAAGAGACTGGCATTCAGAATCGGTAATATACACCTTATTAAACAGTATGTAACAGACAATGTTCACACTTTGTTATAGGGGTTAAATGGGTACGTTAATGTTACAGTTTTAGACAGGGGGCCTTTCCTGGCAAATGATTGCTTCCTGTATTCTTCAAGAGGAAGTTCCCTAAAAAAAAAAAAATAAATCATGGATACATTTTGAAAGAAATGTGGATCATTTAAATAAACTGATTTCTTTAGTATATGATGAAATCGCTCTGTTGAAAAAGTCATAAGATGATCACCTGAGGCAAAATGCTCACCTGACATAAACATAGAGATCTTGTAGCTCTGCCTTTTGAACAAACTTACAAATTGTAGACTTAATCTTGCCAAAGTTGCTGTATTTTATAAAATTTAAAATTGTAAAACTGAACTCAAAATTGAATCTTTCCTATAGCTTAAAGCTTTTCCAGCACAGTGGTTTTCCTGACCAGTATATCTTCACTTTCAAGATTTTTGATTGATTTGAACATATTTTATTGCTTATACTTTACAATTGGGATTGGGCAAAAGTTCGAAAAACTTATTACGCCCTCTCCCTACATATACATTATACCAAACATATTTACTTATACCAAACATATTTACTTATTTTTCTTATGTAATTTCCGTGAAATTTACCAAGTTGTTTTGGAGACGTTGAAAATTTAACAGACAGCAGACAATGGACAAATATTTCGAGAGAATTCTGTAGTTGGTTCAGGTGAGTTAAAAAGAATTCAATTACCTGATAAACAAGTCTCTATAACTGAGATACATTTTTTGTATCTGACGTTATCCTGGCCTTTTTAACCACAAATAAAATCTGTCTTTTAAAAAACGTCAGATATTTCGGTCTGTTCTTATACAAACCCTTTTTATATGCTGAAAACGGGGGATGTATAAAGTGGACTAAAGCAGCTGGAGAAAAAAACATTGATAGACTATCCCAATTTTTTTTCAGTTCAGGATCTACAGATCTGCAGCTACTAAATAAAATGGGGTAAAAATCACGTCACTCATATTGGTTAACAAAACTAGAACCCCAATTTGAGCTGATTTAGTTTTCTGTCATTGAGTCTAATGTCAGACTATGTAGAAATAACTCCCCCTTTCCGAACCCCCCCCCCCCCCTTCCCGGGCATCTTTTAAAACAAGTCCATGTAAACATGGTAAAGTATGGACTGTACTTTTGGTCACGAAATTAATATGAAAACGAAATTTTACAATTTTATGGCCAGTGACTTGCCATACACCAGTTTAGGTTTAATGCAGGATAAGATATTCTCTGTTGAGAAATCGGTGGCTCGTTTTGATACTCGTTGCCTTTATTAGGGCTTACATAGAGAAGGTGAGTGGGTATTAAAACGATCCGCCAACTTTTCAATAGAGAATGCAGGCTAAGCTTGAATCAAAACCAGCTGTAGTACTTTGTTTTTACTTAGAATTCACTAACTGACCAATCACAATACCTGTAGTTAGCTTTCATGGTGCTGACCATATACGTGGGTTCGGGGCGCCTGGTCAGTTTGCTCTCTGTTGGGGTCCTGGGTACAAAACCAGAGTAGCCCGGGCACTGTCGGACACTGAAATGTACACGGTACTGCGTCAATTACTGCTCATCAATACATGAATTACTATGTAAAAATGACATAAAATATTTTATCGAAGTCACATACAATAGACACTATAAATAAATAATAGAGATTGTAAGAATGTTTGCCATTTTACCTACCCCGATGCGTCGTCCTCCATTCTGCAGTGCCAGCTATATGACAATACTCAATATTTAATAATCTTATTTATAGAACCTTTAAACGCCAAGATTTCCCCCGTTTGGCTTTTCGTCAATAACATGCATTCAAACGCATTACAGCTGTATAACAATATTGAAATACAACAGACCATGCATTCTAGGGACAAGGTTATAAACAAATTATCTGTTGCAAGTTTCTATCAAAACCATTTTAAGGACAGAAGCTGGAATTTTTCTTAGGGGATAAAAAATACAACTCGGATTTTTAAAAAATATATAAATAATGGTACAAACGCCGAAACCTATTTTATTCATTTAAAAACAATAAAATTTGGTGTGGTTGTGGGTGGGTGGGTTGGGTTAGCACCCCCTCCCCTCGGAGGCTCCCCCGGCCACCAATGGGTCTTTAAATAGGAAGTTGGCAAATTCCAAAGTTTAATGAAATTAAGATTTTTGTTCCAGAATGTTAAATATTTTACACTTTTACGAATGTGATATTATATTATTGTACATTTTCCATTTACAATTCCAAATGCAAAATATCTAAGTTCATCGGAGGGCCCTTGATTGGTGAATATCATAAACTTACAATATACTGGAAAGTTGATCTTCTTTCACCAGCCTTCGTATTAATGGTGTATTGCTTCGGGGTTTTTCTCCCATTCCTTTGGATAGCCTGAAAATAAACAATAAATTCAATATAGCAACATAACAAAGTCCTGGGGGGGGGGGGGGGGGAGTGGTGTTCGATTCTCGTTCCTAAGACATACAGTACAACATTAGTAACTGTTCCTTCGCCGACTGTCCGGCATTTAAAGTCAAAGTCACGGGTATTTCGGATTTTAGGGTATGCTCTTCAAAAGTACATCTCTTGACAGGTACTAGCTAGACGTTGGCACAAAAAAAGAACCCTGGCTCTATCACAGACTCGATTTTAGCGCCACGCATTTAGGAGGCTTTATATTTCGAGGGAATATATTTCGAGGGAATTACTAAAACGTCATTTTGTCAAGTCAGATCCTATAGGAAGTGAAGCTTTGACCATATTTTGAATACAAAATTTATGGCACGCCAAATTCACAAAAATGAGCTAAACATAGTTTCACAGTTGATAAACTAGGTTTAAAGGTTGTAAACTATAGTTTATGAATGATAATCTAAGTTTATCTGTCTGTAATAAAGCGTTAACAGTAGATTTTGTTGATAAACATAGATTCACGTTTGTAAACTATAATTTACAATCGTAAACTATAGTTAAGAATTGTTAATCATAGTTTCACAAATCGAAACTATATTTATCAGTTAACAGTTAACTATAGTTAAGAGTTGTAAACTATAGTTTACAAACTGTGAAACTGTATTTATCAGATAATCTATGTTTTGCAATCGCAAATGATTGTTTTTCGGTGTTAAGTATAGTTTACGGTTGTGAAACATAGATTATCGCGTTAACTATGGTTTACAGATGTAAAATATAGATTAACGTTGTTAACTATAGTTTACAGTCCGTAAACTATAGTTTACAACCGATAAACCTAGTTTATCGATTGTGAAACTATGATTAGCTCATTTTTGTGAATTTGGCGTGCCATAAAAATTTTAAAAGGCCAATTTGACAACAGATTTACTGTTCTAATTACATTGAGCAATTGAGAGGCGTGACTATTTTAAAGAAAATTGGTTATTATATTCATGTAACATGTGGCACTAAATGTTCATTTTCATTTTTAGTTTCAATACTTTTTTTTGGGGGGGGGGATACTTCATATGTTTTCAAATTATACAGGGCCTCTGCTGATCTGTTAACAATAAAGCCTATGCTGACAATGGAGGATCTCAAACACAGCAAAAAGAACAGATAAGTCATTTAATTCAATGTAAGTTATAAGTAACTCGTCCAAATTCCCAAGCAAACTGTCCGTATAATTTCTTGGGTAGTAATATACGATACTAGTATTTACTGTAAATTAACTACCTGACGTACCTGCTTGTTTCTCCCAGCTGGTTTAAGGGTGAAGTGATAGCATAGCCCCGTATATAATTCTACTTTTAACAAGATTCGATAAAGTAGTCCACACTTAATTTACACAAACTGATTTGTTTGTAGACATTCGATCAATTCGTTTGATAGACGTTTTATATTTCTCTGTTCTGTCTAATTTGTCAACTTAAGAATGTTTGTCTTCTATTGCAAAGAATTGAATTATTTCAAGAGAGAGAGAGAATCGGCGCATGCTGGTAAAGAATGTAATTTATATTCATCGAAATTTTAAATTACTAATTTTCATAACCAACATTCTTTTGTAAATGTAGTTAAAGATAAAATGCAGAGTCTCCGTGCACTATGGAACCCTTATAGAAGATGTCCCCATTTTTTTTTTTACTTCTGTGCTCATACAATGGGCTGTTTCCTCCTCAGTGGGCGTCATTAAAATGCTACGGTTGAAGAAAGCAAGGACTTGGTTTGAAAACAGCTGCAGGTCTTAGTAATATTCTGAAGTACTGTGTAATTTATTTGCAGCCAAGTATTCAGAAACAACCGACCGCACTGCCATATACTAGCAATATTAAAATAAAAAGCAACAAAACGCAGAGAAATAAAGACCAAAATTTTTAAATAGAGGCACTGAAGATTGGACACTATAGCAATAAAGCAAGTTCTAGTTTAAAAGCTTTGAGTTAAGCCAAGTTCGGATACGAGTTACAGGGCATCAGAATACGTTTAAAAAGACCACGAAAATGTACAAAAATCTCAGTCTTTCTCGATAAGTTTCCTCCAAAGTTCGACAAGATCTATTAACTGGTATTTATTCATTTTAATATTCATTTAATCTTTTATTGGGGGCGGGGGGGGGGGGGGGTATTTCAACACCTTTAAGAAGAGTAATACCTTTTCAGCAGGAGTTTTTCCGGCTGGCTGTACGTTCGTTCACTCAGATCATCATGATGCACGACCCCCCGACTCTGTACGAAATCCCAGAATACCGCTCTCTGCCACTCCATAGGTTCAGGGTCATAGCGCTGCCCCGCGGACCGCACCATATTGGCCCGCTTCTCCAAAGTTGTGGAAGGAGGATCGATCTAGGGGAAAATTATTAAAGAAGAGTAAATGTCAATCCATGATTTATTACATAATTTGACTAATTATTTTTACTTATTTATTCATAATTTTTTTTACACATTTATATCTTATAGATAAATTTACACAGACCTGTGGGAATTTAAGACAAGCCTCCTCTGCGGCGGCTGTGGATGTTGACGTCCATCGTACCCGCTGAGCTAGCCTATTTATCAAGTTTGAATCCATCAGGCCAAACTTTGTACGCAGGACATGCACACTCTCTGGTCTCCCCATCACCTCTGAGCGAACCCTTCGGACACACTTTCGGTCCACTGCCGGTTTTGGTAGAGTACATGCTATTTTACTCGGAGAGGGACTCCCAGTAATTTCTTTAGGTTCCAAAAACCTAATTAAACAAATATTATTTAAAATATATGAATAAAATTAAAATCAAAACCTGTCGAAAAAGGATGAAACAAATCACTCGAGTCAAATTATACCGGTAGTCCATGCATATTTAATACAAATGCAGTCGTAAGCAAAACGGGGTGTTTGTATGGAGGGGTGGGGTGGGTGAGTTATTAGCAATAGCAGTTTAATAAAATTGACCTCTGCTCTCTATTTAAACCATTTCACTTTGCTTAACCGATGTTATGAATCCTAGTACGCGAGTCATTAGTATAATTTTACAGTTCAGAATTGTTACAAGATCTTGAGATCATTATTTCAATATCTGAATAAAAGTTATTACATACATGTTACACTATGAACTATTAATACATGAGTCAAATTAAACTACATAAAAAATCTTTGCACGAATTGAAATATTGTTTAGAGCCCTACATATTTTATTAGCGGTATTTAAGAAAATACATAGGCGCGGGAACCGGGGGGGGGGGCTTAGCTCCCCTACTTTTTTGTAAAGATAGACATTATATAGGCATTGAAAATTGGGGTTTACCTTTTTTGTTGGTTTAGCCCCCACTTTCAATTAGCCCCCCCCCCTTCAATTTGCTTCCGACGCCTATGCAATAAACCTATACGTCATTTTTTTTTCAAAGTAGTAATATAGTACTTATAATAGCAATGGCAAAATATCATACAGCTGCATGTAAATGGTGTGTTTGTTTCCTTACCGACCAGTGTTGATGCATTTTGTACCCAGTCCTAGCACAGGTCCCTCCTCCGGATCACGCTCCTGTTGTCTTTTGGGGCCCACAGGTTCTATTGGGAACTGTCTTGGGGGCTGTTGTAGGGTCCCCTTACTAACAATGGAGGGTAGCTGGAGAAAACGGACGGGGCTACGGAAGGGGGAGGGGGCATAACATTGCTGGTAAGTTGTCATTGTCATCCTGCCTCCATTTGCAAAGTTTTACACCGACGGACAACTATTGTGACGTCGGTATTCCAACCCTTATTGTAACGTCATAAATAGATGTAAAGTTGATTGTGACGCCCGGGATAGGTTACCCTGATTATGATGTCATAAATATATGTACAGAAGATATAAAGATATAAAGATATAAAATCGACAGATCCACCCATTAATACTTTACTTCATCTATTTGATCACATGATCAAGCCAATAGCTAACTATGGATCCGAAATATGGGGTATATTGTCATCATCAATGCAAGGAAAAGAAAAATGTTTATTTGATACATTTAATTAAAGATTGGGAGATTGAAAATCTTCATATGAAATTTTGCAAATTTATCATAGGGTCTGGGAAAAGAAGTACCAATATTGCAGTTCTATCTGAACTGGGTAGATAACCACTATTTTATTCTATTATTATAGCAATTATATCTTACTGGCACAGACTGGAAACATGCCTGAAAACTCTTTGTTATACAGTACATACAAAGAAAGCATTATCTTGGACAGTTGTAATGTAAATAGTCGGTTTTCAAATGTAACATATTTCTGTGACAGAATGGGCATGGATTTGTCAAGATGTAAATCAATGAAACTAATAACTTTAAAGAAACATCTGAAAAATATTATTAGAGAGGATTTCCTTCAATATTGGTTTAAACAAAGAGATGATGATTGTCTATCGGGTAAACTTACAACATATTTCTATATAAAAAGAAGTTTTGAAATTGAAAAGTATTTATTATTAAAAAATTTTGAACAAAGAAAAATTATATGCAAATTTAGAGTGAGTTCACATAACCTCAGAATAGAAAGTGGAAGATACGAAAAAAACTAAACTCTGTAGGAGAGCAAACCACCCTTGCAAGAAATGAAAGAATTTGTAGAATGTGCGACATGGACTGTGTGGAAGATGAGATACACTCACTGATTGAATGTCCATTATATAAACATGATAGAGATGACTTTTTTAATATTATTGCTAAAAGTAATAAAAATTTCTATACTTTAACAAATAAAGAAAGATTTTTATGGATTATGTCAAATGAAAATGACATGTGCTTATCAAGCTGGGTAATTTTTTAATCAATATCTTTAAAATAAGAAATAGCAAATTATGCAATGTTAAAGAAAGAAACAAATAAATACAAAAGAGTAATAATGTTTATACTCTAATAATTTAATTATGGTTGTAACGATGTATTTGATTGGACAAAAAATTATTCTATATCGTATAAAATGGGTTGCCTACGTCACAATGACGTGCGTCAAAAACGTATCAATCCGCCTGACGTTACATTCAAATTTTGCACAAATTGAAGTCATTTTGTTAGAACAATAATCTTTTTTTCTTACATCAAATGAATGAAAATTAAATTATAAGCAATGAATTTAATAGCTACCCATTTTATACGGTATAAACTGGGTTGGAACAGTTTACGCTTTTTTTTATAAACCGCTTCGCGGTTTATAAAGCGTAAACTACCCCAATCCAGTTTATACCGTATAAAATGGGTAGCTATTAAATTCATTCCTTAAGTAAAAAAAAAAAAACAAACTTATATTTACAGTATGTTGATTATATATGTTGTAATCCTTAACTGCTGTAACATCATTTATCTTTTGTTAGTTGCTGCTATCAATTTTGAATTTCTTCTTGTGTTTTTCTTATTACTTGTATGCCCTGATGTGCCCCAAATTGGTATTAATAAATCTTATAGTTGATTGTGACGTTAGAGATAGGTTACCCTGATTGTGACGTCATAAATAGATGTAAAGTTGATCGTGACGTTGTCGGCAAACAAGTGCAATAATTGTTATATAAAATATTAACTTTTTTCTTTTCAGTGTTAGATTACGTAAAAGTTACTGCGGAACTGTAATGCTATTTTAGTCTTTGACTATAACGCTACAGATCCCGTTATGCAAATAAGGTGTAATTTATGGCGCAAGATTTTCTGCGCACGGTCGGGGGAGACTTTCTCCATTTTCCAGCTTGGTCAATCAACTACCTTTCACTAACTACAGGCCGACAGGAAGCAATTTTAGTTTGGGGACATTATTGTGGGGGTACAGGTTTATGGTAGCTATGTTTTCTATCGTGCTCTATATATATATCGGCATAATTACCCCCCCCCCCCGTTCCTACAATGAAAAATATTTTAATTTAAAATAAATATCAATAAATCACCGTTTCCACCAAATGTTTCGAAAACTTTTATAGAAATGATCAGGGAGTTTTTGAATTATATCGGAATGTACCCTTCAAATTAAGCTGTATTAAAATCAGGTACAAAAACAATGAGAAAGCTTATATTCCCGATGTAGTTCTGATAAAAATCCAGCCAGTTCACCCAGATATAATTTAATTTTAGTTGTAACAAGTCATTTGATTGGTTAAACGGTTTTATTCATTTTGTATAACATAACTTGCCTACGTCACAATGATTTACGTCAAAAACGTACCCGGGGTATTACTCCGCTTGACTTTACCTTTTAAAATATGCGATATTTGAAGCCTTTTTCCGAAGGAAAAATGGAAAAATTGTCTAATTGTCTACATTGAAATTAAATTATAAGGAATGAAGCTTTGCAGTTTAGAAAGCCTAAACCCTCCCAAGTTATGTTATATATCGTATAACAAAAGTTGAAATAAGCTTCAGTCATTCCTTAAGTGTTATATGTACATCTGATCAAGTTAGCTACACTGTTTCTAGTATCACGAATGACCTTCGTGATTTTCCTTAAAATATTACATACTAATCACTAGTGCATTAACTGCAAACATGTTCTCCAAACCAATTATTAAATGTGAGGTGGGGACATAGTGAGCATATCAGACCTCCCTCACTTTCATATATTAAGTTACAAATGGTGGGTTGATTTTTCATTATTGTGTTAAAATATTATGTACTGCTGTGACTTTTCAATCTCTGATTGCAATGTCATGTGGTAGTGTGATTTTCCATTTTCTGGTGGAACCGATATGTGGTGGTGTTGTTTTCACTTTGGTGGTGTTGTTTTCACTTTCTGGTTGAACTGATATGTGGTGGTGGTTGTTTTCAGTGTTAGGTTGAATTGATATGTGGTTGTGTTGTTTTTTGTCATGTTGAACTGGTATGCAGTGGTGTTGTTTTCACTTTCAGGTTGAACTGATATGTGGTGGTGTTGTTTTCACTTTGGTGGTGTTGTTTTCATTGTCAGGTTGAACTGATATGTGGTGGTGTTGTTTTCATTGTCCGGTTGAACTGATATGCGATGGTGGTGTTCTCATTGTCTGGTTGAACTGATATGTGGTGGTGGTGTTTTCATTGTCATGTTGAACTGTTATGTGGTGGTGGTGTTTTCATAGTCATGTTGAACTGATATGTGGTGGTGTTATTTTCATTGTCATGTTGAACTGATAAGTGGTGGTGGTGTTTTCACTGTCAGGTTGAACTGATATATGTGGTGTTGTTTTCATTGTCAGGTTGAACTGATATATCGTGGTGGTGTTTTCATTGTCAGGTTGAACTGATATGTGGTGTCATTTTCATTGTCAGGTTGAACTGATATATTGTGGTGGTGTTTTCATTGTCAGGTTGAACTGATATATTGTGGTGGAGTTACTTACATTGTCAGGTTGAACTGATAAGTGGTGGTGTTATTTTCATTGTCAGGTTGAACTGATATGTGGTGGTGGTGTTTTCATTGTATGGTTGAACTGATATGTGGTGTTGTATTCATTGTCAGGTTGAACTGATATGTGGTGGTGTTGTTTTCATTGTCTGGTTGAACTGATATGTGGTGGTTTTGTTTCCACTGTCTGGTTGAACTGATATGTGGTGGTTTTGTTTCCATTGTCTGGTTGAACCGATATGTGAGGGAGTTGTTTTCATTGCCTGGTGGAACTGATATATGGTGGTGTTGTTTTCATTGCCTGGTTGAACTGATATGTGGTGGTGGTGTTTTCATTGTCAGGTTGAACTGATATGTGGTGGTGTTGTTTTCATTGTCAGGTTGAACTTATATGCGGTGGTGTTGTTTTCATTGACTGGTTGAACTGATATGTTGTGGTGTTGTTTTCATTGTCTGGCTGAACCGAAATGTGGAAGCATAATTTTTTCTGTGTCTGGTTGAAATGATTTTTTTATCCTCTCTTTTTGATCTTCTCTTTGTCTTTTTAATTTACAATCCTTGTTATCCCAAAAATCTTGATTTATAACTATGCATAAATTATTCGTACTGATTACAGGGAAATGTTCAACTCTTTTTTTCCTGTATCACAAGTGCAAATTTAAAATTGGGTGAAAATCAAAGAAAACAATATTATCTCTTTTACAGAATTGTGTGTAGGCAAATTAAAAACAGGCAAAATTGTTTGCAGGTGTAAAAGAGCCAAAATAAGAAGGGGCGAAAATAACCCTGCATACAGTATCTCGATGGAAACAGAACAGAATAGTACATTTGTTGTCAACATACATGTATTCTTAGGTTAAATTAACTAATAAATTTAAACAATTATATAAATGGACACATGCATAACATATATTAGACCTGGCCATGGATTTCTGTAAAACCTAGAAATCCTTATTCATTTAATTCATGGTTAATAATAATTCAGAATCAGTAAAATATTAGAGTGTTTCAGCAATAGCTTAGCATTATTATACAAAAATGATAACAGAAGAAATTTTGAATTATGCAACAGATATATATATATAAGTTCATATATTGCATTTAATAACATAAACAAAAAAAATATTAAGTATATCTGGCCCATAATGTTGCTGTGTTTTATTTGAACCAGAGACGTTACATCTCATAGGTTTACAAATTTAACTACACATGTTCATATCTTTCTTCACACAGAAAAACAGTTTTAGAGAACCTTCACTGAATCCCTTCTGTGTACACATTCCTCATGTACTCCCTACAAGACTTCACTTTATCCCAACACATTTCCTTCTGCATGATAATCATACAATTACTTTCATTAACTATATGTATGTGGAACTAAAAATTTTTGTTCACTATTTTTGCTGATTTGAATATTGTTTTGAAACAAGAAATTTCAATTTATAAGGATGTTTTAAATGTCATCTTAAAATCTGTTCAATATACATGTAGAGACAAAACATGTGTACCTTTTGACTGAGCAACTACATCTAGATCTCGATATTAGTTACACAAGGAATCAAAAATAAGAATCCTTTATAGAGAAATACAAAGCTATGAGGAAAACAATATTATTTTATAAAACTACTCACTACTTTAAAGTATTTCCAGTTTTGATATACAGTATATGCACTGTATTTAAATGCTATCATTCTATGGACACATCTTTATATTTCTATACTATACGAGGGGCATTTCAAAAGTCCTGAGAACTGTTTAATAAAAATTTAACAGTTTTACGGAAATTGTTGAATTTGATATCATTGGAAAGATCAGAAAAATATGCACAAATTGTGACGTCACTTTATATTTTTTATGACGTAATAACTCCGAAAATGACGTCATGCTTCCGCATGCTTACAATACTGGCCATAAAAATGACGTAACAAAAGACACAATTTCCTCAAATAAGAATTTTTAAAAACAAATTTTGCTCATTACTCGGGCGCAAGCTATCGGACGCAAATGCCAGTTGGTAGAATGTTTACATAGACTACAGTCTATCATATGGTGTTCTATTTCGGAGATCTTCTTGTTCTGAAAAGGTTTAAGCGATTATCAAACATGTTTTTATCGAATCTCGCTCAAAATATTGCGTAAAACAGTCCTAATTTTGTGAAAAAGGCAAAGATGACAATCAAAGAAAAATAGATGAGTGTGTTACAGAATTTGATGGCATCAATTCTTCAGGTGTTTTAACCAGATTTGTGGGATCGATGAAGGCTCAAGAGAAGTTAAGTTTAGTGTACCCCATATTTTCTCGTAAAATCCAAAATGGCACGGGCGCAGTTGTAACCCCATCGAACCTCCACATATTCGCAAAATTTAATTCATGGAAATTAAATAAGATTCTACATGTCTGTGTAACTTATAAACCTTTCTTGGATTCAAAAGTCAAAAGCAGTAGTGAGTTTTGGGGCGCCGGAGTTGAACCTATAAGAAAAAATACGGACAGAAACAAGTCAGGGGCAAGACTTTTATACATTTTATTTGTAAACGATAAGAGTACTGTTACTCAAAATACATTTGTTGAAAACCGCATTAATATACTTCAGTTTTATACAGAATATGTTTTATTTCATACAATGGAGAACTATATAAAAGACCGAAAATCCAGTCGTATCATGTAACTTAAAATCATAAACTAGAGGTACTGTGAGCGATGAGCTCACTAAATGATACCCCCCGCCTCCCATATGGTTATAACTGGTGAAAAAGTCCATGTTTTCCTGTGGCCGGGAAACCCAAAATATGTGTCGGATCAAAAAGTAAAGTAGGAGGTGCACAATGGCAGTATGTAATAAGGATTCTGTGAAAGTTTCATCAAATTTCATTCAGTGGTATGAGAGGAGTTACGGATAAGAGATGGGTACCCAAAAGCGTAACAGACGGACGGACGGAATTAACGATTACTATATACCCTCCCGCTTTTCAAGCGGGGGGGTATAATGAATGTTGATGATAGCATAACCGGACATAAACCGTGCTAGTAAACAAACCAAACAATGAAATATAGAATTGTTGATAAACAGTTCCATACTCCTACTCTACTTCTGTGCAAATGAAAATTTTCTTTGAAATATTTTTTCAAATAAGCCTTTGGCAGCACTTTTAAAATCGTCTCATGTGGATAAAAACGCGACTTTTCAGTATGCTAAACATTCTAGATTCTGACGTCATTTTCGGAGATTTTACGTCATAAAAATTATAAAGTGACGTCACAATATGTGTATATTTTTCTGATTTTTCCAATGATATAAAACTCAATAATTTCCGTAAAACGGTTTTTTTCTTATTAAACAGTTCTCAGGACTTTTGAAATGCCGCTCGTATAACACCGATTGTTTATGATGACACAGATGTTACTGAATTCATATCAGTAGAAAATTTAAATATCAGTAAACACGTAAAAAAAAAACACTATAAAATGATGACTAACAATAAACAAAAAGGTAATATAAAATACAACATAGAATTGTGCACAGCAGAGGTAAAATAAAAGTTTGATAAAAGACTTGGCTATAATATCTGTCAGTACAGTAGACCACTGCAGGCCTATACCCTGCATACACGACAGTTGTCTTCCCTCCTCCCTGACAGGACTCTTTATTGCTTCAACCACCAGATTTCTAAAATCACACAGAATAACATGTAATTAATAGTGGAATCATAATGAAAAAAAGATAAGTAAAACGGGTAAGTATTAAATTGCTTTTGCGCTTGTATATGTATGTGCTCATCAGTATGTTATATGGCATAATTTTTTTAACAATATAACTCTGCTAATAATAAATTTATTCATAAATTAAATTATTTCCATGAATTAATTAACAGTTAATGAGCTGTTTGTCATACTTGGGAAGGTGATTGAGGACAGGGAGACATTTGACGTTAGACCAGAAAACACAGAATCAAAGGACTTCTTCTCCCGATATCTGAAATAGAAAGTGAAACAAGATATAGCAGCTGTCTTAAATATATAAATACAAATATCTAAATACAAAAATATCTAAAATAGAAAGTGAAACAAGCTAGCAACACAAAGTCTTAAAATATCTAAAAACACAAATATCAAAAAAATATAGTAAGGCTAGCTAGTAAACAAAGTCACAGATTTTGTGGTAATTGAAGAGGTACCAGTGTTTATCTCTCAAATAGTTCCTTTTTTCCTGTGTATTTAGATTTTATGATAAAGCTATACACAACACTTTTCAGAGAATGGAAACACACCTGGCATGCTTTCTGTTCCATCTGGTACACAAAAGCATGTATTCATCTGTTTATATTGAAAACACCTTAAAAATATCCAATACATGTACTGACAACAAATATAATCCGAATTTCCTCTGTCTGTTACTTACTGCTTCTCCTTGTCTTCTGCTTCCCAGATTTCATACAGCGTAAACACTCCAGTATCTTTGAAGAACCTCACACTAATACTACAATAATAAAGAGCAAGTTATTAATTTTACTTTAACATCCATCATATATGAATACATTTTAACTGAAAATACAGACATTTGATTTGCATCATACTACAGTTTTCTCAAAATTAAGTTCTAATTGATTATCTAAGTTCATCTTATGCTCAGTTATTAACCTACATAAATAATTCAGAAATGAAAACGGTCCGTATGATGTTAAATTACATGAATTTTATTACACAGTGGCTTGTGAATAGTTTAGTTTTCTTTTTGTTTTTTATTTTCTGATTCATTTGATTACAGCTAGTGACTTGATAGTTTCTGAGTTAATTTCTGACTTGAGAATCCCCAGAGAATTTGTTTAAATTTTGACTTGCTGTAGTGCCCCTGATGACTCGTTTGTTTCTGAGTAAATTTTGGACTCACTTGAGTGCACCAGGAGGATTGGTTTCTGAGTTAATTTTGGACTCACTTGAGTGCACAGGAACATTGGTTTCTGAGTTAATTTTGGACTCACTTGAGTGCACCAGGAGCATTGGTTTCTGAGTTAATTTTGGACTCACTTGAGTACACCATGAGCATTGGTTTCTGAGTTAATTTTGGACTCACTTGAGTGCACCAGGAGCGTTGTTCGTGTCCTCCACATACTGACGGAGAGTCGTACGGAAATCTTCTTCTTTCCCCTTGACGACCTCCATATTCCTCTGCTGCAGGATGTACTACAGAACAAACATAAAGAGCTATTGAAATGTGTAGGACTCTATAATAACAGAACATACGAGGGATGTTCAATAAATAATGTCATCTGAGCTCGGAAAGAAGCAAATGACGCTTTTCAATGAATAAATCTTCATGATTTTACTTATTAATCTCTTTTGATTCAAACAGATGTCCGTGAAATTTTTTATCTTATTTCTGATTGTATTTAGAACTCATTTTTGGATATGACCCTTAGTATACTGGAAAATGGCAGATCCAATGATTTCCTGGACTTGTTTCTTCTTTCTGAAAGGTGTTTTTTCAAGTTTGGAAATAGAAACAAGTCAAAAGGTCAAAGATCTGGTGAATATTGTTAATGTGAAAAAATATTATCTTTCTTTTTATCCCGAAAATGCATTTACTCTTCAGGGGTGCGGGTTTGGACGCTGTCAAAAAGAAATTTAATGTAGTGAATTCCTGATTCTAGGTCCTTCCTCTAATAAACCTTTCGATTTTTTTGCAAAAAAATTGCTTTCTAGACTCCTCCAGAAATTAAACTGTCTCCCCAAATACAAAATTGAACAATGGTACCACTAATATTTAAGAAAATTGCATATTAATCTGTCTTTGTGCTCTTGCATACCTTTGCTCTTGTCAGACCATTGCTGTTTTCATCAAGTACATCTTATTGGAAATTTTGAATTGAGTGTTTTAAGCAATAGATTCATGTTCCATTATCTGTCTGAATATGAAACAAACGTGGATAACTACAATTACTGATATTTTAAAATAATTTTTAAGACATTCCTACACGCTGTCGTTTTCACTCATTTTTCAAAATAAAGGGTGATCTTTGAATACCAAGCTTTTTTACCGTCAAAGCTTCTTAGAAACATAGTAAACTACTCCCGATATGATGTATATCAAATTTGCTATGTGTCTTCAGTCAGTCATACATCATCAAATATTATTTGTTGAAATTGGGCAAATAGTACATAAGTTGTTATAATTTTTGTTGGCAAGGACGGTACCCATTTTTGATGCCCATTATATAATTTTTTATCATTGAAATCCACTTGCTTATTTGTCTATAAAACAGGCAATGATTGATGTATATGTCAGATATTTCAGTGAAAATTTATTTGGGATTTTTAACACGTTTTACAGCAGCTTTAATGAAGCTTTTATTTTCACTCTAGTTTACTGATTCTTTACCATTCATTTATAATGCAGTGTCTCGAATAGCCCTTGTTTCCCAGCTTCTCACGATGAAACTATGTGATGAAAAGTGGTCACATAAACTTTTATCAGTTCATTAAAGACTCAATAATGAGAGAAAGTCTAAATTAATGTCATATGATTTCTATGTTGTATGTCATCGAGCCAATGACATTATTTATTGAACGTCCCTCGTATTTGAAGAAATCTGTGAAGATCAATCCCGTTAAGTATGTACCATATCAGTTCAGCATTCCCAATACAGTTTGTTAAAAATCCTTTTCCCTGTCCCTATAAATAACAATGACATAATTATAATTACCTGATCCTCGGCTGTGGCATTCATGTCTTCATCAACAAATCCTTTAAAGTTAACCTACAAGAAAGACAGGTTAACAAAGAAAAGGTTATTGCTATATCACTGTTCTTTTTTTTTTTTATCTCATATGAATTCAATCAAAGCCTTGTTTTTAAAAATATTCAGAATTTCATTTCTCTGAAATATTTTACCCCATGTTCCAGTCTGTCAAGCAGATCAGACAGTCTATCCACTTGTGCTGTTAGTGCTATAGGATTTACTGAACCTAAAGGAAGGAAATCAAAAATTATAAACAAACCCTGTTGTACCATATCAAGAAAACTAGAAATATGTCCATAGGACATGAATGCCCCACAAAGGATATATTAGTAAAGCAACAGTTTGGTTCAGGTAGGGCTTATAGTTAGTACGGAATAAAAATATAGGTCAGATCCAGCATCCGAAGCAAGTCTGGTAGTGTCCATCCCTAGATGCATCATCCATGAAAGTTTGGTTCAGGTAGGGCTTATAGTTACTTGGGAATAAAAATATAGGTCAGATCCAGCATCCAAAGTAAGTCTGGTAGTGTCCATCCCTAGATGCATCATCCATGAAAGTTTGGTTCAGGTAGGGCTTATAGTTACTTGGGAATGAAAATATAGGTCAGATCCAGCATCCGAAGCAAGTCTGGTAGTGTCCATCCCTAGATGCATCATCCATGAAAGTTTGGTTCAGGTAGGGCTTATAGTTACTTGGGAATGAAAATATAGGTCAGATCCAGCATCCGAAGCAAGTCTGGTAGTGTCCATCCCTAGATGCATCATCCATGAAAGTTTGGTTCAGGTAGGACTTACAGTTACTTGGGAATGAAAATATAGGTCAGATCCAGCATCCGAAGCAAGTCTGGTAGTGTCCATCCCTAGATGCATCATCCATGAAAGTTTGGTTCAGACAGGGCTTATAGTTACTTGGGAATGAAAATATAGGTCAGATCCAGCATCCGAAGCAAGTCTGGTAGTGTCCATCCCTTGATGCATCATCCATGCAAGTTTGGTTCAAGCAGGGCTTATAGTTACTTGGGAATGAAAATATAGGTCAGATCCAGCATCTGAAGCAAGTCAGGTAGTGTCCATCCCTAGATGCATCATCCATGCAAGTTTGGTTCAGGTAGAGCTTATAGTTACTTGGGAATGAAAATATAGGTCAGATCCAGCATCCAAAGCAAGTCTGGTAGTGTCCATCCCTAGATGTATCATCCATGCAAGTTTGGTTCAGGCAGGGCTTATAGTTACTTGGGAATAAAAATATAGGTCAGATCCAGTATCTGAAGCAAGTCTGGTAGTGTCCATCCCTAGATGCATCATCCATGCAAGTTTGGTTCAGGTAGGGCTTATAGTTACTTGGGAATGAAAATATAGGTCAGATCCAGCATCTGAAGCAAGTCTGATAGTGTTTATCCCTAGATACATCATCCATGCAAGTTTGGTTCAGGTAGGGCTTATAGTTACTTGGGAATGAAAATATAGGTCAGATCCAGCATCCGAAGCAAGTCTGGTAGTGTCCATCCCTAGATGCATCATCCGTGCAAGTTTGGTCCAAGTTGGCCTTATAGTTCCTTAGGAATGGACCTGCTCCAAAAACTTTAATCTGGTCACTTTATCTGGAAAATGTAGGTCAGATCCAGCATCCGAAGCAAGTCTGGTAGTGTTCATCCCTAGATGCATCATCCGTGCAAGTTTGTATCCATATGTGAAGTTTGATCACACCATCTTGAATGGTATGTTTAAAACTGAGCTAAACACTAATTTAAGAAAAGTGAGGTCAAGGTCAAAGGAAAGGTCAAGGTCAAAAAATGTTGATGCAGTTGCATAACTCTCATCAATATCTATCAGCATATGAAGTTTGATCAAAATATCTTGGATAGTTTCTTTGAAACTTAGCTTTGAACAGAGCTAAACGCAAAGTGTGACGGAAGGACAGAAGGACGGAAGGACGGAAGACGGACATGACAAACACTATATGCCCCGACCATATTCATGGCGGGGCATAAAAAGACAAGACTTATGTGCAACCATGTGTCCTTTTACCTTTTTTTTTTGCCCTGGGTCGCAATGTGTTTGAGATATCAAAATTTAACAGTATATGTTATGTAATACATAAAAGTTAAACTATGAAGCCTGGAATTCTCAAGATATTTGCAAGGTTTTGAGGGTGCCATGAAATGGATATTAATTGCAAAATAAAAGCCATCACCTAAATAGATTTTTTTTGACAGAACAGAGATGATATAAAACTGCTACCTTCTGAGGGGACTGAGGATTGACTACTGATCTGATGTTTGGTGCGACGTCCGACGCGCCCCGGAATAACGTCAGGCTTAGGCAGGACGTCACGAGGCTCGATAGGCTTGATGTCAGTGCTGCTCAAACAAAAATACCATTATATAACTTAAAAGCATGTCAGAAATAATTCTTCTTTCACAAATGATTTTTTCTAATGTCTTTTTAAACTTACTTTTCTGCTCGGGCTTCCTCGTCCATATGGTCTGAGGCCGACTCTAGGGGGCGCTGTAGGGCAGTCAGCTGACCAATACACTCACGCATTAAGAAGCGAGTGATGAACTTGTCAGTTCTGCTCTTTTCAGGATAAGTCTACAACCATACATGTACATGTATCAACACAGCAATAATTTCCACACAGATATGTAGAATTTAACAATTACCTTCAGTTTGTGCATTAAAAGCACACTTTTTCAGAATCTTTTTAAGAGACATGTGCACACTGTACCACAATTTTTGGTCAATATATTAAACTACTGACCAAGAAGAACTTGTATAAAAAAAATTGCTATAACACAGAATTATAGAATATATTTGAATACTAATAAGATCAATATGTTTTGTTTTACATGGTAGAGAGGCATGATTTACCTTGGCAGTGGACTGCAGTACATTGGTGACTTTGTGGTTCAGATCCTCCATTAGAGAATAAATCTCCTTCATTTCTCCCAGGTGATTACTGA